AGATGTTCTGGAATGGTCTCTAAGGAAACTGATACTTGAGTAGAATTATTCTTTACAAGTAAACGTAGTCATACTGCATTTTGACAACTTCTACTACCAATTGTTCTGCTCTAAAAGACAAATGTCAAAATGATGTAGGACTGCATTTACCTGTAAGTGCTTACAAACATTGCTCAAGCCAGTTGCATCTTGGGAAATGCTTTTATAGCTGTGGCAAATACCCTTTTGTGACGTGTAATTCATACTATTTTAAATTATCAGGTGTTAAAATACTGTATAAGATAGCTTATATCCTTAATACTATCTCAAGTGCTCTGCATTGTTTGTCAAACACCTAGGCACGTTTGTCATCTTGCCTTTTAGTTTGGAAAAACATGTAGCCATTGGTTATTGTGACAGCTTGGAAATGTAAGTGTTCAACCCATTTAACTAATAAGTTGGTGTAAGCAAAATCAACATTTATTTTCTCTTAATATGAAAAGCCTGAATATAAACTGCTCAGCTGCCTATTTTCCAAAGGCATATAAAAGGAAGAATGGATGCACCAGTTGCACCAGCAGGAATTAAAATTAAAATATGCACTGAAAGTGGGGAAAAAAAAAAATCAGTATGCTCATTCAACTCCTCCCCAACACCATTATATAAACAGAATTAAGGCAAATATGTAATTTCTACATCCAACAGCATATATGCCCTAAAAAATTGTTAAATATTTTGTTGATACTTTAGTGAAACTGAATTCTGGGGTTTTTTTGTAGAAAGAATTTACTTTGTTCATGTAACTCCAGACTGACACCACAGAAACCATAATCCCATACTCCACAAACCATGTGCATCACTTCCAAATCACAATTATAATATTGTTTTGGAAAAAAGAATACAAATTATTTCCCCCACATGGTACATTATGGGATTCCTGCACCATTCTATGCTACTGGCATACAGTAATTACTGAAAAGGAGATAACTGCATAAAATGTGTTGTCTAAAGTGCAGGAACACCCCTTATCAATTCAAGGCTTGCACAGGGTAAGACTATTTTACTTCACAGATCAATGAAAAAGTGCTTCAAAAGGAGAAGTCAGCATCACAGAAGAACCCACCTTCATTACTCTATGACTTTCCAAAACTGTATCAGAATAATGGTTTCAGTTTCTTTAGTTGCAGGTTTACATTACACTAAAAACAGAGAGAATGCAAAGCATATATTAATGCATACTTAGGAAGTGTGAACTCCTAATTACAGTGTTACCTTACCTATTACTCTGTTGTTTCATAGCTTTTAGGGGGATTCTACATGGTCATTTGCAGGTAGGTGAAAATGTTTCCTACTTGTGCAGCTGACTGACTGCAATCCAGCTCTGAATCACAAATAATACAGCCACAGTTCACAAGTCCATCCCATGATTTCACCAGAAAGGCCCATTCAGAGCAATACACAAAGCCCTCTGAAGTTCTATCCTCAGAGATTTGTCATCATTTCTTGTCAAAACTGGGGTTTATAGCTTGAGTCCTGTGGTAACCGCAGCAACACAATTTCTTCATCAGAGTTCTGCTGCTTTCAGCCAGAAAATGGTACAGACTGAAGGAATTTACCTCAACTGTCAAAAGATTGTGTATCCATGACCTTGATACAACTCCTTCCTGATTCTTCGTTTAGACCTATGAACAGTACTCATCACAACTTTTTCATAGAAGGGTAAAAGGAAAAAGGAATGTTCCACTTTTTGGATGGATTTAGTGGGTTTTATAAATTATTTCCATACTTCCTCCAGCTACTTCACAGTCCTCACCATTCCTGTATTTTACCTTATAATTTTGGGTTTTTTTTTCTTTTCATACAATCCCTTTTCCATGCAGCACCATGTGAAAAGGATGCTGCTGTACTTTTCACATCTGCCCATGTACTTCTTCATCAACAGCATTATAATTCTGTTGAATTTCAATTTCCCAAACAATGGGGTAGGGAAGATAAGGAGTATCAACTTTTTTTCTTTTCAAGACATCTTAAGAAAAAGCAAAGTAGGGTAATTCATAGGGACTGAAAATTTACAGTACATGTTCACATTTGCTTCATAAAGCCCACTTCTAAGCCCATTGCTCTGTACAGTATAACTGTAGCTCACAGAGTGAGTGACATCTTGGTCGCTCCAGGAGCTGGTATACCAGCAGATGTGAACTGAAGAAATAATGTCAACCCAAGAACTAGACTGGAGTCTTCTAGCAGATATTGAATTTAATTGCACTCCAAAGCAAACGAACAAAAAATGTCCCATCTTATGCTGGTTTGGCAAGGATGGAGTTAATCTCCTCACTGGCAAGTGCTCCAGCCACACCACCCCAGTCAAAGAACGCAAAGGTGGGGACTGGGAGAATGAAGAACTTCCCATGGTAGGAGAAGATCAGGTTTGAGACCATCTAAGGAATCTGAAGGTACACGAGTCCATGGGACCTGATGAGATGCATCTGCAGGTCCTGAGGGAATTGACAGATGAAGTGAGAGAGTGGCAGTGTGGTACTTAGTTGCCATGACCCATCTCTTGTATATCTTTGTAAGAAGCCACAGTTAGACTCTGTTCAGACACAAAATAGTTACAAAGGCAGGAACTTCACAAGAAAATTCAACCTTATTCTCATAAGTACAAAGAGCTATGATTTTAACAGTATGAACTGCCTGGAGGTACCTGCATTTCTCCTTTCATTTAGAGGAGGAGAGCTTGACCAGATATCTATATTGCACAGAGCTAAAATCAGGTGGGGTTAATGCTCTGATGACATTGAGGTGGAAATAATGAGCATTAAATGGGCAAAATCAGTTCTTCCACAGATGAGGATTACAACGGGTAAATGGAATGAAAACATAGAACAATGTTTAATATGCAAAGTATTAAAAAATCCCCATCAATGTCTTATCTTTGCTTTCATGCATATTCCCAGTCCCTAAATGCTAAGCGGGATTACTTGTGCTTTAAATTTAAAGTGCATGCTCTGTTCCAGTAAGCACAGTCAGCAATCCAGTTTCTCTTTTGAGCACATTTCAAAAGATGTGAACTGCTAAAGAAAACCATAATGATCTGAAGGCTGGTAACATCAGGAATGAGTGAAAACCTGAGACTTCTGCATGGCTTAGAAAAGGGATTCAGAACTCTGAATAGTCTATTCCACCCCAGTGCAACTGTGTTGAAATGGATGGACAGGGATGTTCTTCCAATATTCTAAATAACTTTGGTGAGGTCAGCTGGTAGTCTTTGTGTCCTAATCAAATCTCTAGTACCTAAAATTTCCCATTACAATTGACAAAGCTCTTACAGCATGACAACTTTCTCTGTGTGACTGCAAAACCTCCAAGACCAGCCTGAAGCTGTTGGTTAAAGCAGTAATTCCAATGTTTTCATCATTTTTGTACCATGTATGCATGAATGTATGTACATTTGCATGTATAAATATATCTCCCTCTGGCATCATTTACAGGCCCTAGAAACCCTTTCTGCTCTGCCGTTTTTGTTGTTTGTATGTTACTGAACAACATCTTTGTAGAAGGAAATCTCAGAATAAAAATAGCATATCTAATGACTCAAAGGGACTTTCTGTCAGATGGATTTCAATATGATATCAGTTTACTAAGCAGGATTTGTATCTCTTGGAACTTCACCTTAGATAGTGTTAGCACGAGTTTTATTGTAAACACTGGTGTGTCCTTCAGGTTTGAAATTTAGCAATGGTCTTACTGTTGTTTATTTTGTCAGACAACTGGCACCACCACATTGTCACTGACCCCCTGTTCTTGGGCAGGCTTTGATATTGTAGCTAGTTGAGTTGGTAAAAATCCTCCACAGGGCTGCTCTCATCAAGCTCATCCTTTTAGTCTTTATTCAAGAAACTGAGATGGGTAAAGATTTTATTCTTTTGAACTTGAAACCATCAGTAGATTGTATGTCTAAGATACACAGTCTGAAGAAACTTTGTACTTGGTGGTAGTTCCACTTCAAGAAACAACAAAAAAAAAAAAATTCTGGCTTTGCAGCAGATTAAAAATATATTACTGAGCTCAGAGACAGCCTAGTTTGGGCACAAAAACTCCAGTGACAATTTCAAGAGAAATAAAATATATACTTAATCCTTCAGGCAGTCTCACTGAGTTCCACTGATTTTTGATTAAGCAAAACAGACAGACAAACACAACTAACACTGTCCTTCCAGCCAGTGGCCTCTGCCTGAAATCAATGCTCCTGTATAAACCGGAGTTAATGGGCCCTTATCAGGAGAAAATCCTTATTTCATGAAAGACCTACTATGCTTGTGTTATTCACATTATATTTCACAATTCTTGCTGTTCAAATCATGGGCATTTTGCCAACACAGAAGGGTTGTTATTGTGTTTTTTTTCCCATAATCACACTTCCTGTTGCTTCTAATATAACATCTATTGTCACTACACTCAATGGATCAATTTTGCTCTCACTTATAAAGTCCACTCAATCTTCCAAGGTTCCACAAAAAGCTGTTTGGTTTGGTAATGATGCAGGAACACTTTTAAAGAAAGAGATTCAAGGAGAGGGGTTTTGTTTTTTCTTAATTAAGGTTTTACACAGGATAAACAACATTCTCAATGACAGCCTGCCCAATCCCTATACTTTATATTAAGGGACATGCAATGAAACTTGTGCATAAAGGATGAAGAGGCTGAGTGTTAGTTCCAGAATCTGCTGGGATGTGTGAAAAGTGACAGAATTTCCTCTTTCATTTCCATGGAAAACTCCACAAAAGCTTGACTGCCAGGAGTCCATGCCCTCAAAAGTTTTTGGTGATCATCAAGGCACTTTTTTCTTTCTATATTATTCAAGAACAATAAATATCCCCCTTCCATATGTCACAAATGAACCTAAGGTGATCTGCAACATTGTGAAAACCACTCCCCTAAATTTTGAAACCTGTAAAACACACTTTACATAGTTGCAGAATTTCACCTGCACTATAAAAAGTCATTTTTTTGCCACATACCTTTTTTTTGTTGGTGGGACAAATGTAGAAATTGTCAATAACAGTGGCAATCCCAGGCTGTAGATTCAACTTTGTGTATAATGTCCCAAAATCTGAAGACCTGAAAGAAATCAAACATCTGTAAGTGCTCTCTTCTAAAGAGTTCAGCATTGAAACTCTGCAAGAAAAGCCTCACTTTGTGGCACTAACTATCCATTTTCAATGTTTCTGTGCCATCCTTTTGTTCTTTTCAGGGTTCATTAGCTAAAAGAAACCTGCCATTATTAAGTATATTATTCTAGGTTTGAAAAAAACATGGTTAGTCCTGTCTGTATTTTGCAGTCCTATGCAGTGCTAGGGCTTTTTTTTTCTGTGCAGTGACAGAAGCCCAAAATGTGCACCTTTCCATCACCACCCACAAGGTGGGAAAAAAGAGCTATGAAGAGCACAGGCTCATTGGCAAGAACTAACAGCACCTCCTCAGCTATGCAGAGAAAGAAGAGCTGACTTCAGAGCTTGCTGTTGCGTAAGAGAAGAATTTGGCCTGAGATCTGGAAGACTCACATTGGACCTCTACCAGAATAAATACTTGATAAAGGTACCCATCCACTCCTCCAGCTCTTTTTTAGAGGAGTTTTGAACGAATAAAACCAAAGTCAGTGCTTGGCCATCAGTATGTCACACACACACGTATCTATGAGTATTTCAAATGTGAGCACTCTGATGAATTTGTTTCATACTCCTGAAAAATCTGCAGTGAAAAATGGCATCCATGCTACTCACTTGTATTGCCAATGTCAATTATAAAAAGAACAGGCAAGTAAAATGTTGGTATAAGACAATGCCAGTGAAATTCAAAGGAAGTAACATTCAAATTTAAATCTCTTTGGATGAAACCTTGCTTGTTCTATTTAAAATCAAATTGTATCATGCACTCTCTCCATATTTCCAGTTATTCATTTTGCACTTGGAAAGGGACTCAGACACGTGTAAGGCACTTGTCCCCTCTTTACCAAGAAGCACTCCCTAGGGCAGAGAGTTGGTGTGAAGACTCCCACTCTATACTCCCTTTCTTTTCACGGCAATAACAATCTCCTTCACAAACAGGGCTGAAGGTACCCTGCCCAGTACCTCTGCATAATTCAAACAACTGGGAACATGCAACAGCTCTCATGTCTAAGAGAACAAAGAGGAGACCCCTGTCCCTCCCAGTGTGACACTGAGGATTGCCTGTGCAGTGATTTCTGCCCTATAAACCCAGTTCTACCACGTTCATTACTCTGAGGTAGGCTCTCCTTGCCCAGGGGAGTCACTGCTGAAGTTTGTGGGAATGTGACTGAATACAAGGAGAGAGAAAAGTGACAAACCAAATCCCTGGCCAAGTGTGTACACCTTGACAGGTAGCCCACTGCCTGAGGTATCCTCCAAGGCACATGAGGCAGATTAGTCCCTGAGGGGCTGGTGCCTGCAGGAGGCTGCCATGACAGCCCACCTGCATCCCTGTCCCACCAATGATGTCACCTAAGTTAAAGGGCATGTTGTACGAAGCCAGAGGTGTTTGCTGTGCTTTCACACATCCAGCTTTCCTCAGCATACAAGAACTTTCAGCTGCGGTCATGGAGCAGCTTTCTATGTCTTTGGCATCACCAAGCATAGTGGATGGCAGAGGATGATATGCTGGATCAGGTCCTAAGGGACACCAAGCAAAGAAGGGTTCATGTTTACCTCGTTTTTCTTCCTTCTCTAGCAGTCAAAAAACCCAACTGCTCACACACAGAACACACTCACAGCCTAAACTGAGAGTTTAACCATTTTATAGTGATATCTGAACGGATTTGATCTGGTTTCCCCCTTCCCCCCTCAATTTTGCTTCACCTGCAGATATACAGCAATGCATTACAGAAGTTAATGGAAACATTACCACTCAGTTTTGACAAATAATTATGTAGAAATCAAATACATACAACCGCAGTGTACTAGGTGCTCAGCAGAGAACTAATTAAAATCCTAAGGGGAATAGGATGGACAGTGTTAAACCTAATTTGCCAGAAGTGTTCGACAGAAAAGAAATTAAAGCAAAGACTAAACTACTGACTTCAGCCAGGTGTACTGAAATCACGCAGGGCAAGTATGTATGATGGAAACATAACCTAGTCTATTCTCTTTGAGGAAAGAATATCAGGTCAGTGGTTTGCCCAATAATAACATCCTGAAATAATTCTCTGAACCTTAAAGATGATTCAATTTACTCTGAAGAGGCAGTTCCAGGATTAATACAATGGGACCACTGGAGAGTGACACCGCAGGAGGGATGGTGGCAGCAACTGTATCAAGGTATGAAAAGAATATGGGCAGGAAGCCCAAAGAGAATAAGCCATTTCTAAGACAAAAAGTTCCAATCTAAAACTTCCGCTTCTAATTCTCATGACTTTTTAAAAGTACTGCAAGAAAAGAATGAGATTTAAAAAAAAAATAAGAGTGCACTGAGGTTACTATGGTATTTTCAAAGGCAGAAAAACTATATAGTCAAAAATCTTTTATTTTCTGCTACAAGTTAGCAATCTCAGGGGGGAAAAAAAAACATCCAGTGCGAACCTGAGACAATAGGTTAACACATCTCCCTAAAAGTACACCAGGCCTAAGCAGCAAGACCCAGATTGGAAGCAGATCTGTGGATCTATGGAGAAATCTACTCAGACTTCCGAACCTTTTTTATTATAGGTCAGATTTGTGGTAGCCCAGGAATATCAGTTACTGTTTGAGACATTTATGCACAAGAGGACATAGTTCAAGGACATCGGTCAAGGGAAGCACTGTGCAAAATAATTGGTTTTCTACATCTGCTATAATACAGAGGAAAAAGGCCAACATTTTTACTTGAGATATAAATTCCAAGTTCCTGATCCTGCAAATATGAAGAACTAACATTTTGTAGCACAAAGCTAGAATAGAGTTCCCTGTAATTGCACTACTGGGCTGCAGATAGGATTGGGGAGGATGAATTCTGGGATCTCAGTGCATACCTATTTCAATATATTACAAAATGTGTTTTGTACCAAATTAAGGATAGGAGAAGTCCTATGGTTCTCCAGTCATAAAGAGATTTTTTTGTCTGCTAGAAACCAAACTTGTGCTGTGTCAGAAGCGTTAAGGAGATGGGAAAAAAACCACATGAGACATCTGTGTTTATCAGTACAAACACATTCTCTTTCCTCCCTAAAAGTTCATTAAAAGATATTTCAAGTTATAATGGAAAGAGAATACACATGCACCTGATGAAAAGAGGAAAACTTTCACCTACAGTAGGGTTTATTTGCAGTGGTAGCACAACAGCAAAACTCCATAAACCAGAGCAAGAAGTGTAAAGATTAATTTTGCAAAGATGAGCCTGACCTGCAGTTCTAAGTGATCCAGATGCAGTTAGTTAGAATTTTGACTTTATGTGAGACACTGCAGGGGATACAGCAAGAGATATATAGGCTGCCCCCTCCTGCTGGGTATCCACCTGTGCACTACAGGCTGCAGATCACATAGATGTTTCCTTGTAGAGCAGAACTCAGTGAAGGACTCATAGGAAATATATCTTCCAATATTCAGGTGATGGGTCAGAGAACCATCAGATGGTGGATTGACATGATTCCTCATGACTGTGCAGACATCACACAACCCGAGCTTGACAGAGCTTGTGGCTGGGTGACAGTTTCTTTGAAAGTATGTACATCTGTTGAAATGTGTCACAGTTTTTTTTTTCTTTAAGGAAAAATCAGTTGTCACTGTAAGAACAGTATTTTCAAATAACAATCCTCAAAATCATACAATGATATTACAGCACAGGCATAATTAGGTATTTTTAGCTTGTTTTAATACTGTGAGATCAAAAAATAGGAAAAGGTCCAAGTGGTACAGATATGTATCCTGATGAAATAAAACTCCCAAAGCCCTTAAGCTCTGAGTAAATTTGGGTCTCATCCTTAAAAATGTAACTTTTTTATATTTGAGCTAAAATAAATCTATGCTTACCATAAGTTGGAACTGTATCTAAACACTGGATCTGGACATCTTCCAACAGAAATATTGAGAAAGAAGAAGAAATTTAACAGATACGAAAAGAGACATGAGCCAAATGTTTGCCTGTCTAAACTTCACTATCATACAGTTCTCCAGTGCTGACTCACACCTATGATTCAATATTGCTCATTGTTAGTTGTTTTCTCCAGATTATATTTACAAGTAGATATTAATATATAAGAAACATTTAAATTAATATAGTAGGATGTTAATGAAGATTCTTTGAGATGAAAATTTCATTCACAAGTCAAATTTCATACTCAAAGAAAACATGAACTGCAAAAAATGCTTTCTCTCCTTTTTTCTTTTTCTAATGAATTGAAGAGATACACTAGAAAGAGAATGGCTGGAATGCTTAACACACATCTTCATCAAATTTCCTCTACCTTTTCTTCTTGAAGATTAACTCAAACTCCATTCTAGTCAAATGAGCCATACTGCAAAAGCCCCATTAGCTTAAAATCCTGGAAGACAACACTGAAGAGATTTCAAATGACTCATGGATTACTTAACTGGTGAAACAAAAAGAAAGTCTTTGAAAAAAAAAATACAAAAGATCTGCTGGTTTAGATCATTCGTAAGTTGTTGAAAAAAAAAGATTCACTGAGATGCACGTTACAGAATCAAGGAAGAGTGGATCTGTGCATAAAACTCACTGGACTGCTTCCCACTTAATTTTCTCCAGACTGCATTGCAAATGTTGTCTTCTCGCCTATCCCTCCTTTCTGTCAAGAGAACAGTCCAGGATTTACAGCACGAACTTTAAAATGCAGGAGAAATTATTTTAGGTTCTTGCTCTATCACAGACTTATATCTAACAGTAGGATTTCTTTGTGCTCTGGTCCCTCACCTGAAAAATAGAGACAACGCTGTTTACTACCCCTCAAATGCCTGTAAGGAGCACAAGCCCTATGAGGACTGGCTGATGGAGCTGGGGTTGTTTAGGCTGGAGAAGAGGTCTCAGGGGAAACCTCATCACTCTCTACAGCTACCTGAAAGGAGCTTGTAGCCAGGTGGGGGTTGCTCTTCTCCCAGGCAAGCAGCAGTAGGACAAGAGGGCACGGTCTTTAGCTGTGCCAGGGGAGGTTTAGGTTGACATTAGA